TTATCTCAGAATGATTTTATGCAAAAAAATGTAATCGACATGTTTTGTACCACCACAGACCTGTCCTAATCTGTTCAAGGAAGCAAAATAGGTCACCTTTAGATTGAAGGTCCTGACAGCTTAATATTTTTGCAGTTTAATGGGTTTTTATCAACTTATTTTGACTCAAACGGACCTTTGGGAACATTCATGATCTTAATTGGGCCTAATTTAGATCATTTCTATTAAGCGGAACACACGTTAACTGGTCCTGGATCAGTTGTTGGTGAATTGCTTACCGCTCTGGGTACAAACACAAACCTGATCCCGGAACAGCTCTGCTCTCCTCTGCCAGGAAGCTAAATCGGGATGAGTTTGGGTTATTTACGTGTGAAGCAGGGAGCTGGTCCTGGATCAGCGGCTCGGCTCAGCGCAGGGAAGCTGAGGTGAAGCTGCAGTTTTCAGCCCGCAGAGTTTATTTAAACCTTGTGCGTTCACGCAGCGCTGCCTCTGCTCTCCATCTGCGCAGGACCCAGCGTCTCTCCGCCGCCTGTCAGGTTGTATTCAGCTGCGAAGATCCGCCGCTTTCCTTTTATTCTGTTGTTGTTTGGTGTTTTGATTTATTTTAAAACCACTGAACCATCTCTGCCGGTGTTTCTGCCTCTTGGCAGATCGATCTCAGACTTAATGAGACAGATTGCTCTCAGATTAGGCTCAGATTTCCTCTTCTCATCCTCCCGTTTGCTGCCAAAAAACATTTCCGATGCAATCAAACCTTTAAAACTGTCGCCGCTGCTTATTTAACGTTGCTATTTTTAATTTTAATGAATCGGGACACAAAACATTTGCTTAAAATTAGAAAGTTTGATTTTCAGATCTTGTCTCATGTTTTAAAAATGTGTTTTTTTTCTGGGTTTTGTAGGAAATTTGTTTTAGAAACAAGAAAAAAAATCAGAAGTCAATTTAGCAACACAGAGCTGAAAGTCCTTCGTAAGGAAACGAATGGAAAAAAAAATTAAATGATGAATTATTTTTAAGGTTTTAATTTGTTTCCCTTCTTATACATTTATATTTAAAATGTATTTATTGAGAATAAAGTGGAAACTTGTTGAATTTAGCAACAGTTCCTGCTGGTTTAACTTGATATCTTCATTGAGAGCAAGATGGAACCAAAACCTAATTTTTTGTGTTCACAAACTTTGCAGAAAGAGATGATTCTTAGTTATTTTAATACAAAATTAATATAAAAAAAATCCGAAACTTAAATATATGTTCTATAAAACAGTAAAAGTCAAAAATATAATAATTTAAATATGTATTTTAATATAAAATATATTTTATAAAGTGCATTTACTTGTTACATCTTCATCATCAGACGTCAGCAGCTTCATCAGCTGCCGTGGCAACAATGGTTTTATAATTAAAAAGCAGCCGGCCTTTAGTTTACTGTTTGATAAAACTGTTTGGTTTCATGCTGCTGCAGATAACGATCCAGACGCCTGGAAAAACGCCGAGCCAAAGCAGAGCGTCCCAGCTTTCTAACACAGAGCAGAAAACAAGAGAGACGTTGTGAAACATGCAAATGTATGAAAACAAGCTCTGCCTCGTGCAGAAAAAATCTCCCACATGTGACGCAGAATTCAGGGCTTTATATTTCATCGCACTACAGATTATTAATCTTAGCATTGAATTATATTTTACACAGCAGCAGCAGCAATGCAAAATGATAAACTGTGTGTGTCAAATATGTAAAAATGAAGCTGGGAATCATAAATATAAACACAATTTGAGGCATATTATTGTGAAAGTATTCATAGATTTGCTTGGTTTTCTTTTTGTAGCAAAGATTTTTCTTCATACAAATTATCATAACCAGTTAGTAGCATCAATCGCTTTTAGAAACTTATGAAAATGGCATTTTTTTTCCTCATAAGCCCCACCCACTTCCTCTCTTTGTGACCATATTTGGGTTTTAGCCATGAATCCAAATACCAAATTTAATCAGAAACTGATTGTGGATTGTGGTTTTAAAAATATAGCGACTCCCAGTGTTAAAATACAACATTTGGAAGGTGTTAAAGCCTAAAAACCTCAACTTTGGTTTGGTAGAAGTGAACCAAAACTTAACTTCTATGCAATTGAAATATATGAACACCAAGCGGACCAAAGACTGCTCCAAAAGCAGGAGGTGGACTGTAACGCAGAGCATTCTGGGTAAATACAACCTAAACAGACATGCTAACTAGCGCTAGTGGGAAAAATGGCTTATGGTATTTTTGTATCAAAGACAAAAGAGAAATCCTTCAACTGCTAAAATCTGACGCTACTCCATTTTATGTTTACATCTTGTGAAGAAGGAACTTGCGCTAAGTGTTTTCTTTTGAGGTTTTCATCTGGTTTCCTTCAGTGGTTCTTGGCGCAGCGCCCCCACAGGCAAGAAGGGAAACAACTTTGCAAATAAGTTTGGATCATTTGACACAGTACAATGGGAAAGTGAACCGCACCACCTGAAAATGTAACAAATGTTGCGATTCTGGACTCGAATCAAACCCAGTCTACTGGTGAGATGGGTAATTGTTGGAAGAGGTGAGAATTAAGCCAGGTGAAGCTACCAGGTGAAACGTGTGATTAGTGAAATAGGTAAGGTGTGAGACAGTTCCCAGGTGAGGAAGCTAACAAGCATAACAGGTGAGACAGGTGACGGTTTAATTACCAAATGATACAATTACCAGGTAAGAAAGTTACCAGGTGAGATGGGTAATTGTTGGAACAGGTGAGAATTAAGCTATGTGTCAGGTGAGATGGGTACCATTCAAGACTGTTATTGGTTGGAACAGGTGACAAGAAAGCCATGTGAAAGGTTTAGATAGCTGCCGGGTGAGACATGCGACTGGTGAAATAGGTAAAGTGTGAGACAGTTACCAGGTGAGGAAGTTAACAAGATGAACAGATGACAGTTTAGATGATTATCATATGAGATAGGTTACAGGTGAGACAGGGGCCAGGTAAGACAGGTAATGGTTTGAACAGGTGAGATGGGTGACAGGTTTAGATAGTTACCAGGTGAGACAGATAATGAGTTAGAGAGCAGGTGAGACACGCAGCAGGTGAGACACGCAGCAGGTGAGACACGCAGCAGGTGAGACACGCAACTGGTGAGACACGCAACTGGTGAGACGGGTAGCAGGTGAGGCTGGAGAGTGACAGTGACGAAGATGAGGGTCTATAAATAGCTGATGTCCCTGATAATCTGCTGGCAGACGCTCACGTAACGTCTTCCTGATAATCCGTTTGAGCCGACAGTCGAGGAAACACAGCAGGAATCAGGGATCACAACCGCTGCTGCAGACACACTGGGAATACTGGGAACACTGGTGATACTAGTGACCCTCTCTGAAGGTGGAGCAAGGCTGGCAGAACAGGAAGTAGCGACCAAGTTGTCCAGGTTCCTCGCGTGTTTCTGTTGACTCGTCTGTTTGGACGTTTAGCTCGTTTTGTTTGTTCTGTCCTCTTAAAGATAATCCATTCAGATTATTTTGTTTCCTTTAACTTGATTTTAGTTTGTTTAACATCTTTTTGTTTTTTCCAATTTATACTTCTTTGGGTTGTTGTTGTCTTTAATTCTGCTTGTTTTGTTGCTTTGTGTCAGTTTTTCATGATGCATCTTTTTGCATTGTTTTGGAGCTTGTTTAGCTTCTTCCTGGGTTGGTTCTTTTGGGTTCTTTGGGCATTTTGCTGTTTTTTATGGACTTTTTCTGTCTCTCTTTGTAGTTTTTTCTTCTATTAACCATTTTTCACCATTTCTGTGTATTTTCTGACAAATTAGTTTGATTCTCGAGGTTTTGACTTCTTTACAGAGGCTCACAGTTTCTTGCTGCACTGCAAAAACACTAATTTTTATCAAGTATTTTGGTTTTGTTTCTAATAAAAAAATCTTAGTTTTCTCTTATTTCAGGTGCATTAACTTGAAATACAGGAAATACAAAAAAAAAGCTCCTGTAACATTCTTTGAAAGACACAGGAGCTAGTACATTTTAATATTGATAAAACGTACTAGCTCCACTGGCAGATTATTTCACTTATGACATTTTGAAAAATAATCTGCCAGTGGAACTAGTACTTTATTTAAAAATCAATTGTAAGGTATTATTTACTGAAAACAAGCTTCTGTATCTTGTTGAAAAGTTACTTGAAAGTTAGTTTTGTTTTGTTTTTTCGAGACATTTGCATGAGAAACTAGAACCAAAAGTACTTGGTAAGTTTTTGTTTTTGCAGCGATGGATAATGATGTTTGGATCATCGAGCCTCAGCCTGAGCATTCAGACCGCTGACGGCGGCGATTCAGATTCAGATTCCTGATGTTTTCTGTTCGGAGGCCTGGAAAGCAGCAGGTTGTCGTGGCTTTAATTACAGTTGTGGTTTGCGGCGATGACAGCTTCCTGTCGTCGTGCTGATTCTCCTGAGGAGTGAAAGCCTCACTTCCCGTGAGCGATTTATAATTCATGCTCCAGGTGAACAGGGATCAGGTGCTTCTGTAACCTGAGGAGACCTTTATTCAGCCTGAATGAACCGAGCAGTCAGAGGGCTGCTGTTGCCACTAGGAGGAAGTAGACCTCCTCTGCTTCCACGGGAAGAAATTCTGAGATTTCAGGGGAAATTCTGCAGATAAATGGCGTTCAGTCGGGTTTCACCAAACCACACAAACTTTCCTAACAAAAGAGACAGAAAAGAGGAGAAAGAAGCTGCCTGGTCCTGCAGTCTGCTGAGATGTGAGTTTAAAGTGAACCTGTTGGGCATAAAACATGTCTGGTTATTTACCTGCGGATTAACCAGCCTTAAAGGGGCAGCATGACGTGTTTTCCAGGCACATGGTGACATTTTAAAGCATAATCGAGTAGGGCTGAAACGATTAATCGGATTAATTGTGATTAATCGATTATTGAAATAATCGTCAACTCATTTAGTAATCGATTAACAGGAGTGTACAGAATCAAAAAAGGGCTTTTGGTGGAAAAAAACCAACACATTAAGAGCAGTAATTAAGCCAAAACTGTATAAAGATTATATACATTTTGCATTTAAGATACAAACACCTTTGTCTTAATGCTTTTCTAATATTGCATGAAAAATGGTTACATGAAATCTCATTTTTAATCTGATTAATTGATGGTTAATAATTTAAAAGAAACTTGATGTTGCAATTAGACCCCTTGAAAATGGGCCTCTGTCTCTTTAAGAAGGTCCTACTCTTCCACTGACTTAAGCAAGTTGTCACAACAATGCTCCTCCATTATGCCGTCTACAACCGTTCTTAACCTCTGATCCTTACATTTCTGCTAACTGGAACTACAAAAATAAATTCCCTTCATAGAAATGGCAATTTTGAGAAAAGTTTTGGTGCCAGGATGAAGTGGTTTTTCGGCCGTGTCGAAATTTGTGTATTTTGCAAAACTTTAATGGAAAACATTTTTTCGCATCACAAGTCATGTGATCAACAACCGGAAATGATGAAGACAACAGGAAGTCATAGAGGATGATGGCGCAGCATGTTTTTCATATTCACATGTGATCTCAGTTGCATTTTTTATTTATTGGAAACACCAGAATTGCGAAATTGTGTTTCTCTTGACATTAACGAAATACCAACAAAGTTTTGCTCGCATCTGAAATGGAAACGCAGCTGCTGGGAGAGGTTGGTCCAGTGGTCCAGTGGTGCAGCCCTGGTACATTAACACTCCCAACAATTCAGACAGTTTTAGGGGTTTTAATTATCATGAATGATAAATCGACATCTTATCATTTATCGTGATAAACGATACGATAATTGCCATCCCCTACCTCTCACTGAGATCAGTTCCGGTAACTCAGCATAATTTTCTACACCAACAGCCGTAGGAGACCCCTACGCGTCCAACATGGACACATTTTTCCGTCGTCACTTCAGAAGGAAGGAAGCGTCCCTGGAGGCGGATCCTGCTGCCGCCGCCTGCCGCCAGCGCCGGCCCAGCGTCGCCATCCCCACCAGCAAGGCCCGCCGCCGCTCCAGCGTGGGCCTCCCATCCTCCGGCCTGACGCAGCGTCGTCGCTCCACTGTCCAGCCGCCGGCACCAAAGAGAAAGCATGGCCGCCGGCGCTCCAGCACCACCACGCCCAGCCTGAACCCGCGGTTCGCCGTGTGCCGGAAGAAGGTGGGGAAGCTGCGGACTATTGACACCCACCTGCTGGGGCCGTCCATGCTGCTGGCCAGCCTCATCCAGATGGCGGAGGAGGACGAAGAAGGCGAAGGGGGCGGCCTGGGGGCGGGGCTTCCTGCAGGGGAACAGCAGGTGGAGGTGAGAGGCGGAGTCAGCAACAGAGCGGCATTTTCCCGCTCCAGCAGCCTCCAGTCGGACCAAGATGACGACAGCAGCGATTACTCCAGCAACAGCCAATCAGAAGGCAGCCTGCTGTCGGAGACAGAGCAGCTGCCTGAGGAGGAAGAGGAGGGCGAAGCCTCCACCTCCTCCCTCTCTACCTCCGCCCTGCAGGTGCTGATTAAGCCCCCGGATGTTCTGTCCCAGTCGCGGCCCCTGATCCGGGCCCCTCGCTGCCTTCGCAGAAACTCCTCCCAGGTGTTTGCCGGAGATCTGTCCCCATTCGTCTGCTACCGCGGGTCCAGCCAGAGGAAGAGGAGGAAGATCTCCACCGTCTCCAAGGCTGGGAGCCCCTGGCCGGGAAGAGGCCACCTGCTGCCCAGCCGCAAGAACTCAGTCTACTACCTCAACCACCCGGCCTTCTACAGGGGCCCCGGGCCCCTTAGCCCGCTGGGGCCCCACAGCTACGACTCCCGCCTGGAGAGTCTGAGTGCCTTCTTGCTGTATGTAGTCCAGCTGCTGTCTGCACACTAATTTAGCTCTGTGTGATGAAAACTCAAATATCTAAGAACTTAAAGGTGATCTATTATGATTCCTTGAACAGTTTAGGATCAGTCTATACAAAACATGTTCATTACCTCTTTTCACAAAATCATTCTTGGATAATGAGATTTTAGTCTGATCAAAATAGGCTATTTTAAACTGTTTTAGGGCCTCCTGTCACTTTAAATCCAAATAAGCTGCTCCTGGCCACGACCTCCCCACCCCCAAACTCAGCGTTTACACTCGCATGTAAAAATATCTTCAAACAGATGCGAAATTATACAACCATACATTTTTGAAAAGCAAAAGTAGAGCCTCCTGCATACCAACAAGAATGCAGCAAGTGGTTTCTGAACAGTACGTCAACAGCAAAACACTTGTCTATTCCAGCAGCCATTGTACATTGCACAAGGCGGTAAAAGCAGCTGAAGAAACATGCTGGAACTCTGCTAGTGTTGCTAGGTAACGGGTGGAACTCTGCTGGGGTTGCTAGGTAACGGGTGGAACTCTGCTGGGGTTGCTAGGTAATGGGTGGAACTCTGCTAGTGTTGCTAGCTAACGGGTGGAACTCTGCTGGGGTTGCTAGGTAATGGGTGGAACTCTGCTGGGGTTGCTATTTTACAGAAAACAAAGGAGAGTGAAAACTTGGACTGATGACTGTGTGATGATATAATCTCTAAATGTAGAAATACTGCAAAGACGGATAAAATCTTGCTCAAAGTTTTGCTCCAAAGTTTGACATTTCGAAAGCTGTATGAACAAAAATGTTTCTTCTGAGTCAGTCAGGGGAAAAGTGTGTGAAATTATAACCTAGAAACCTGATAATTCTTTGTTCAAACATGTAATGGGACGTTATATCGGTCAAATGGCTCTCCACCAAGTGTTGTTGGTTGGACTCCAAACGCATGTTTTTTATTGATTCAACCAAGTCAATTAATTAATTGCACTTTTCTGTAAATATCCTTGTGCTCCTCTGAATATCACTGAAGTTCAGTACTCTGTCCAAATCGGTACTAAAGGGCTATTTCACTATTTTTAGAAGAGTTTGAGCTGCTTTTTTTTAGCACAGAATAAAATTAGTGATCAATACTTCTGTAGTAATTAGTGTTTCCAATAATTTACTTCATATATTTTATTTTATCTAAGACATTTCTATGGAACTGAAATGACGTTAGTTCTGGTAACATTTAGTACAATTAATCTTAAATTGCTTTAACGCCCAATGTAAATGAAACTTTCTCAGACGTTGTTTTTCTTCTTCTGCCGTTTGCAGGAAAGCCATCGCCAAGTCGGGCCTGCAGAATGCTGCGACTCAGTCCAACGCGTCCGGACAGACGGACTCTCAGCAGCCCAACAGCATCATCGACTGGAGCGTAAGTCACGGTTTTCATTCAGAAATGAAACGCAGCTGAGTTGTATTCAATAAAACACAGACTCAACTTTAGCTTCACTTTTTGAAAAGCATCAGTTTACATTACAGAAACATCAGAATAGATAAAGGACACATAAAATTATTCCGTCCCATTTTCATGTGTTTTCATCTTATTTTTGAGTAAAAGGTCATTGGATGTTTGTAAAACACAACTATTAAAAGAAAAATACTTTTGCCTAACACTTTCCATTCAAGATAAATTAGAATTAAATTATAAATATGTAATTTAAAGTTTCATGTTTAAAAAAATTATGAAAGTGCCCATTGGAGGCCAAAATTGTTCCAAGGGCCACAAAGGGCCCCAGGGCCACACTTTGGATATCCCTGCCATATAGAGTGATACATTTTTCAGCCATATCATCCATCAGTTTGGGATCTAAACTCTGTTTGACTCTGGATTGGTTCCCAGTGGATCATTTTTGTGTATTTTGGGATGCAGGAGAACGCCCAGTACGGGGAACACATCTGGTTCGAAGCCAGTGTTTCTGGAGACTTCTGTTACGTTGGAGAACAATTCTGCGTTGCCAAGTCTCTGGTGAGTTCACCTCCACCGGTTTGGTTCTGGTCCCAGACAGCGGGAAAAGAGGAGCGACTCTAGCAGGGCCGGCCCAAGCCTTTCTGGGGCCCTAAGCATGGTTTGGGAAAATGACCCTGACTCACCGTGAACCCGATCTGTTTTCCAGCAAAAGTCTGTACCTCGGATGAAATGTGCTGGCTGTAAGATATCGGTGCACGTCATGTGCATGGAGCAGCTGGAGAAGGTAAATGAGCTCCAGGTCAGCACCTCGTCTCAGACGTCTCTCCTTCCCAGCTCAACGTTTCTGTCCTCTGCCCAGATTAACTTCAGGTGCAAACCGTCGTTCAGGGAACCAGTGTCTCGAGCCATCCGAGAGGTCAGCGGCGCATGTTCACGATCTGAAAGTGTTCACTGTTATGTTGAGGTAAATAGTGCTCTGAAAAATGTCTCGTTCTCCAGGCCAACGTCGTTCGACATCACTGGGTCCACAGGAGACGGCAGACTGGGAAGTGTCGGCAGTGTGGGAAGGTTGGTCTCTGACTGGATGAGTTTTTACCCTGTTTCTAAACCAGATTTACTAATTTCCTACAGTAGTTCTTCTCCTAATAGTTGTTTTCCCTCTAAAATTATCACTGGTTTGGGGACATTTAGCAGTTTATGAATGTTCTTTTACTTTGCTGGAAAAACAAAAAGTTCATCAGAACGTCTCAGGAATAAGAATACCATGCTAAGACTTTAGGTAGTCGCTTAAAAATATAGGAAAAAATCTTAACGTTTTCCACATCAACTTATGAAACAACCATTCAAACTTTAAGCAACTTGTTTCTGTTTTTGTAATTGTTTTAAGTTTGAGTTTTTTTCCCCCCCATTTTCCATCAGGATGTTCAGCTTAGTAATAATGTGACACACTCTAGATTCTGACCTCAAGAGAAGTTCTGAAATGCGTTTGATTTAAACTACTCTCACCCCCACAGTTTTATCTCCACATGTACATTTTATAAATCAAAACGTTGGTATTTCTCTCCACTTTCACCCATTTTCTCTTTCACTGTCGCAGGACTTACAGTTTTCCATCAGTTTGACAATAAGTGCAGAGAGCTCACACCCAAACTCTAATTCACTCCCATTTAGCTCAATATCTTTCTTTCTAAAATAAAACTGAAGGCTCTCTTTAACCTTTCGTACCTCCTAAATAAAACTCTGTAGACCCATAAAAAGGTGTATGAATGGCCACTAAAAGGTTCTAACACTCGTGGTTCAAGAATTTTTCTGAAACAACTTATAGTTTTTACACATCGACCGTTTGAGGCTGGTGAATGAAACGGTGCTGTAGGCTCCCTAAAAAAGGAGGGAGTCGCCATAGCAACCACACACAGTAGCTGCTGCAGAGTTTCTGCTGCTGGTTGCAATCACAAACTGTTTCAAGAGTTTAGAGCGGAAAGTTTTCTAAAATAAAATGGTGAAATGGGTATGAATTATGAACAGCTTTAAGAAAGTATTTCTCTGTAATTTTATGTGTTATATTGATTGTGTACGTTTTCTGTATATGTGTTGCTTGACATATTTAAGCAAATGCTCTTTAGTATAATGTTTTTTCATTATAGTATAATTTATTTTTGATCTATGGCCTCTATATTGTATTTGTTTATTTTATAGTTACTTTTATTTTGAATTTATCATGTGATCAATGTACGTCATGTATGTTTTAGTTTGTGTTGATTGTGTGAACCTCAGGAAGAGTAGATGCAGAAAACTGCAACTGATGGGGATCTAATGAATTTATCCAGCAGTTTTCTAGTCATACTGACCACCGGTCAATGGGCAACTTGCATATCAACTTGTGCAAGGAGGAAACTGGAATCAAACCTTTGAGTTTCAGATCGACAGCTTCTCCAATTACCTCCATCATGTCACCAACAGGGCTTCCAGCAGAAGTTTACATTTCACAGCAAAGAGATCGTAGCCATCAGCTGCTCGTGGTGCAAACAGGCGGTGAGTTAACGTCGTTAACGCCAAGCTCCAGCTAACTTCCTGCCAGCTGACTCTCCGTCTCCGTTTCAGTATCACAACAAGGTGACGTGCTTCATGCTGCAGCAGATAGAGGAGTGCTGCTCTCTGGGGGCCCATGCTGCCGTCATCATCCCTCCAACATGGATTATCAGAGTCCGCAAGCCGCAGGTATTTACTGCCCAGAAATGTTATTTACTCAGCCTCCTGGGTTTAAACTCCAGATATTTCCTCTTTTTCCTGTCTGTGGTCCAGACTTTCCCCATCAACCTTTAAACTGGTCTGGAGATCCAGACTGTCTCATTTCATTTTGTTCTTGCTGCTTTTTCACTCAATTTTTATGACGGCATATTAGGGTCACTTTATATGCGGGGAAAATTAGGTGTAAGTTTCCATCAAAAACTAAAAAGTTTTGAGATTAGTCAAATTTTCTAGAAACATTTTTTTACAAAAAAGAAAAAAGAAATTTCTGAGTTTCAAAATTAAAGACTTTGAACTTTTAAAACTCAGAAATGTCCACATTTTTTCTAGAAAATTCTGAAATTAATCTTGAAATTTCTGAGTTTATTTCTTGCAAATTTAATTTTCAACTTGTTTTTTCCAGAAAATTTCTGAGACTAATCTCAAAATTTCAGAATTTTTTTCTTTCCAAATTTTAACTTCTGAAGCTCAGAAATTTCCTTATTTTTTATAGAAATTTTCCGAGATTAATTTTAACATTTTAGATTTTTTTTTATGGATATTTATTACTCCCTTTTTTCTTCCTACAGTTCCTCTAACATGCCATTGTAAATTTTAAAGTCCTGTCTGCCAAAAAACGGTGAAACATTTACCAAATCCCTGACACATGAACCTCAGTTTATCTTGTTTGACTGACAAAGATAAATAATCTGCTTATAAATTAGAGCAGACTTTATCTTCATTTATTTATTTTCTCTTTGGAATCAATAAAGAATTTTTTAATTGAATTTCTAGTAACTCTATCCTCAGTCTAACTTCCACCAAAAAATCTCATTTTTTATTGATCCTTCTGTCTGAAGACTGATCAGGTCCTCAAAGTGTAGAGAAAAACCTGCAGTTGATGATAGTTTCTATTTTTTCTGCAGACGTCTCTGAAATCCAGTAAAAAGAAGAAACGGACGTCACTGAAGTGCAACAAGTCGACCAAGAAGGGAGCAGAGGTCAGCAAAAAGCCGCTTTATGTGCTGAGCAAAATGCTAGCATTAAATAAAGAATCTTCTTGCTTAGTGAATGCAGTTTGGTCAGTAATGACATTGGATGTAGCTTTTTTTGTTTTATAGTGACTCTGAATGCAGCATTTTGTTTAAAACTGAATTGAATGCAGCGTTTTGCATCATGTGTCCGCTCACTTCCTGATCTTTTGGTCGCTCTTCAGCTCCAAGATGGCCGCTGGAAGCCCTTCCTGGTGAAGCCCCTCCCCTCCCAGCTAATGAAGCCTCTGCTGGTGTTTGTCAATCCGAAAAGCGGCGGGAATCAGGTAGTTTTCATTTTGGTTCACATCAAGATCCTGAATGTTCTCAGGAACCAGCTGTGCCAAAATGTATTGATAAAACTCATTATCAAACTGTTAAAATATTAATAAATACTGACTATCTTTTCACATTGATCAGTTCCTTCATTTGTTTTTCTGATCTTTACAATGAAGAACTATTAAAACTCAGCAGCTGACTTGCCGCCTTCCTCCTCTTCTTCTTCAGGGAGCAAAGATCATCCAGTCGTTCATGTGGTACCTGAACCCTCGGCAGGTGTTTGACCTGACCAAAGGAGGACCCAGAGAGGGGTAAGCAGTCTTCCTCACTCGTTGTCATTCCTCATTGGAAGCTCAAACATTTCAGTCAGATCCGTTTCTTTGCTCCCTGCAGGCTGGAAATGTACTCCAAAGTTCCCAACCTGCGGATCCTGGCCTGCGGTGGCGACGGCACCGTGAGTTAAACGATGAATAAAACAGAGCTGTGAATAAAACAGATCCTGTGGTCACATGACCTCTGACCGTTCAGGTGGGATGGATCCTGTCCGTGTTGGACCAGCTGAAGCTCCGCCCCCAGCCTCCGGTCGCCATCCTTCCTCTGGGGACGGGAAACGACCTGGCCAGGACGCTGAACTGGGGAGGGGTGAGTCCAGTCGCTTCGCTGCTGCTGTTAAAGTTTTATTTTGTTTGTTCCAATTTAGAAATAGAGCTGCAACTAATGATTATTAGTTACCGATTATTCTGATAATCAATTAATCGGATAAAAAAACTGCAATTTGAGGAGTTCTTGGTAGAACAAAATGTATTTTTCTACTGGCTTCATTGCTGCGCTGAGCATCTTCTCTCAGTAAATTACCTTTTTTTGTCTTAGCTAGTGATTAATCAATTACTATATTAGTAAACGATTATTTCAGTAATCGATTAATCACAATTAATCGTTTCAGCCCTGTTTAGAAATGTAAACTTTAGGTTAAGACCCTGAGCATAAATAAAGATGTTTTCCAGTCATCCTGCTGTGCTCCGGTCTCAGGGTTACACCGACGAACCGATCACAAAGATCCTGTCGCACGTGGAGGACGGGAACGTCGTCCAGCTGGACCGATGGAACCTCAACGTGGAACCGAACACCGAGGCTCGACCCGAGGAGCGAGATGAGCAGCAGACCGACAAGGTCAGCTCTGGTTTGGCGTAGATGAAACCGAGCGTTCCCTCAGCTGCGTCACGGTTCGTTTACGTTTGCTTTTCAGCTCCCGATCGACGTCTTCAACAACTACTTCAGCCTGGGCTTCGACGCTCACGTCACACTGGGCTTCCACGAATCCAGAGGTCAGTCCAGCCCAGGGTTACAGGAGTTTGGGGTTTTTCATTGTGGCTTATTTTGTTGTGACTTTGTGTTGAATTTAGTTAGTTATTTTTAGGAGTCTGCTAGTTTTCAATGAGTTATTATATTGCTTAGTTTTAGTTTAGTTTTTATGAGCTATAGTAGCAGTTTAAGTTTTTTCATACTTTGGTTAATTTTTAGGTGCAGAATTCAAAAGGAAGAGACAGTTTTCCAAAAATGTACTTAATTATTGTTGAACAATCAACTGGTGTTGCCATTTTGCAGGCTAGTGTTTCGTTTTAGCTGCCAAGTTGTCAACATAACATGCTATATCTCAAAGTTACGTGTGAAATATAAAAGAAAAAGGGACATAGTGCTTTACTATTAATTGTCAACACTACAACAACTAGATTACAATGTTATGTTTAATAAAAAAAATAGCAAGGGAGAGGGAAGTAGGTCAGCTAAGCTAGCTTGACTTTAACAACTTTATCATGTAGATGCTCTGTGGAATTTGATGAGATTCGGTTCAGTTAAAAAATAAAAAATGGGGACCTAAACACCAAGTCTCTGACAGATCATCAGCAACCACTGCTTATTGGTAATCGCAAAATAAACATCAAGCCTAAAAACATAAAACTGTAATGGACTGAATGTTCTGTTCTTTCTGTGATATAAAAAATTCCCCTCTCACCCTCTGT